TTCCTTTGAACTGTGATGTTTGCAGTGATGGGGTAAAACATAGTAAGGTTGATTAATACTCTAAAACAACATCTAATAACTGCTGAATGTCTGCAAGGGGCAAGCTCCGACCCCTTTACACAGGTAGGGCAATAAGCAATTTTGGACTCTCTACCCTTGTTCACTTTGAGCAGCTCAGCTCACTGCTTGGATTGAGACCACAGAGTCAGAAGGGACCTTTCCAAGTTCAGCAAAGCTGGTGCTGGTGCAAAGTCAAAGTCACCTAGTCTTTCCTACAGTTTTTCTGTATTTTAGATCAGACTCTTTATGATTAGAAATAAGGGGAAACAACTCATGATGCTAAATTAGTGGACATTTCTACAGAAAAAGACATGATTTCTTACCAGTGCCAATTCATATAATTATTACCTCCCTCTGTCCAGCAGTACAAATACTTCAGCTACTTGTGCTATTACTGCATGACCAGCATTAAAACAGGCCAAATTGACAATCACAGACTGTTTAAACACACCCAACCCTTTTCCACCCCACCCCCCCCCCCCCCCCCACGCACAGCACCACTCACGGTGGGCCGGCGGGTTCGCCTTAATTTAAACGTGACAAGAGGCTTTTTTAAATTGAGACCTGCTCAGAGAAACCCCACTGAGTTTTCACAAATACAGAAGTAACAGGAAAGAGTATCAAGAGGTTACAAAAACAGGAAGAAAACGGTACACCAAGACAGACGACATCGTGGTTCCTGACCTCCCAATGCTACAGGCTACAGCTAAGAGGTCTGTAGAAGTGTCTGTTGTTTTTGCAAAGTTTGAGTCCCTTCAGGAGATTACTCTCGCTATTTACTCTGTTTCTATCAGGCTGTGTATTTGCCCCACTGTTCCTAGTCCCGCCAGCTGGGCAAAGTGACCACCAGCTCGGTTCATGGATATACTGATGGGTTTGGGGGGCTGGAATGTTTTAGGATGGCATCGGTCTGTTTGGGAGGGTCTCTCCTTGAGTCCGTGAGTTCACTCCTGAAGCAGGCCGAAAGGAGACTGTAGAGAAGGAACCAGAGAAAAAGAGATGAATGTACAGGACCCTGCACCAGCCACCAAGAGAGAAAGTGTCACTTTCCACCTTCATGATCACAGTATGGGCTTTGAAGGAGGGGAAAAGCAGATGTCTTAGCACCTGGTGTGAAGGTATGTGACAGGGAGATTTAGAAAGCTGGAAAGCCCCAGGTACAAGCGAGTGCTTGGCAAGGAAGAGAAAATGACTAGTTGACAGGGAAATCTGATTTCTGTGTCCGAGTGTCACGGGTGCAAATGGTGCCCCGACACTGCTCCCAGCAACAAATGCAAGAGGAAAAAAGCACTCGGCCAAAGAGGAAAAGAAGAGAAGCAGCTTCCATTGAGCCCACTTCAAACTTCAATTACTTAAAAACCAGAAGCTGGTGCTAGGGAGAGAGAATAGTGCCTCCTGTGAAAAGGCTGTATTGATTACATCTCAAAGCAGCCAGTGGACCTCCCGCACTAAAGCCAAGGGGTCCCTGGGGCTGCCAGCTGATGCAGAAGGCACTGCACCCTCAGACACAGCAAAGCAAATACAGCATGTCTTCATATACCTAGCCCCACGCTTTTTTTTTTGCTTACTTTCACCTGGGCAATTCTCTAGTGAGAGCACTATCCAAGTGCCTGGAGTGCACAACGCGTGCAAGCACAGCACTACAAAACCAAACCATGCAAAAAAAAAAAAAATATCACTGTCAGCTTCCACACCAAAAACTAGGTGGAGGTATGAAGAATACCTTCCCCACCAGCCCCCTCCCCACGACAGCAAGCGCCTGGATCCCTGCAGCTCCCATCTCCACTGGAGCACTCCAGGCACTGGATAGCTCAGCTTTGTCATGCCTCACTTGCAAGGTTAATTCCCTCTCATTTGCATAATGAGCTATGCTGCTCACTAGATTGAAAGGCAGCCAGTGGGCTGGTAGATGCAGCCCTGCTGATATAAGAGAAACATTTACTGCAATATAAGATCCCACACTGACATAACAGCCATTGGAAGGCTTTGTGAAAACCCGTCAATTATGGGAGTTGGACTTGATGAGCCTTACAACTGGAGATATTCTATGATTCTATGGTATGACCAATTGAAATAAAGACTGTTCTGAAAACAGTGCTCAGCAGGGTGAAACTCCGCATAGGAAATTTTGCTAATATGAAAAAGTGTTTTCCAGTGAAACCCATAAAGACTGTGCGGATACTCCCTGGAAATACTGATGGTAAGTGTATTTCACAGCAAAGAATCAAAGAAACCTTCCCTTCCCAACAAAGCAGAGGCCACCTCTGGCATCTCTGCCAGCAGGGATATTCTGGCAAATCCATGTTTTAAACAAATGGTGGCAGACCATGAAAAGGAAGTCTTCTAAATAAACATGTGTGCTGCTGTTCAAATATCAGCCCCAGGATTTGGCAGTGAAAAAGGAAGAATAGAAACTGCAGAAAAACCCCCACCATCCCACCTATGATCATGAAGGTATTTGGCTAACAGTAAATAAGAGAAAACCATGCACAAAGGAGCAAACAGAGAGAGGAGATGAAACAGAGAAAGATTGTCGTCTGGCACAACGTGGAGCATTGCAGTATTTTGGTCATCTTGTGGGACACAAAGCTTTCTGATTGTCACCAGATTAGTCCTTTTAATTCCAGAACAGGAAGACAGTTGCATCTGCTAGCCTGCCAAATGCAATGCTGGTCTCATGCAAGGTTGCTCTTACCCAAACCAGTTCCTACAAAGTGTCTTCTCTGCCCATTCTCACATCAACACTTGAAGCTCCTTGACAATTTTTTGGGGGCTGTGCAATTCCATCTATGAATCTTTTCAGCCTAAATGCCCCTTTGCCCTGAACACATTCCTTCATAAATTAAGTCATACCCTGGATTACCGAGGAAAAAGCACCAGAACCCAACTGCACCTAAGAAGCTATTGCTTGAACATGCATTTCAGCAGAGGATCCTGCTTGATGGCAGGCTGTTGGCAGACACAACTGCAGCAGCTCTGGACAAACACTGAAAGTTATTTTTCTCCCCACTCCTGGCATCCTTAAAAGCTCTTAATCTTTCTCCCCAGTATCTGAGCACACTCAGCAGCTGAGAAAAATGAGTATATAACTGGAAAAGTGCCAGGAGACATGCCGCAAGAAGTTTCATTAAATTAAATGGCTGGACTCATACACGCTGGTCTTAAAGGTAACACAAATACCAACTTCAGTTGCCAGGAAGCCATCCTATTGATATAGGAAGAATGAAAACAGTAATTATGGCAAAGCAACTGTCAGCACCGAGTGAAAGCTGTCATCTGCTGCTGTCCATTTCTGCTTACAAAACCATTTCTCAGCTGAAATGGCTGTAGTTCAGGTAGAGCTTTGAAGACACGCAGCTGAGTGCACAAAGGCCGCAATGCCTAGGAGCTAGTAAATACAAGCTACAGTATACACAAACAGTGCAGATGACTGATAAAAATAAAAAATAATGAAAATCTTAAGTGCCCTGATAAAGAGTCCAGAGCCCCTGGATGCTTGAGCCATTTTGGCACAAGGCTTTTTTTCACACCTTCACAAGACTCCAGCTGACACTAAAAACACACAGGTTGAAATGTGAACACATGCAGAGATCTGGCAGAAAGCCGTGGTATTGCAGAAGTCCTGAGACAAGGCCAAGGCACCAAAATAAATCCCTACAGGCTCAAGTGGGACTTATGTGGTGCCTTGGCCTCGTGCTAACCTCTGCAGAGGAATGAGTTATACCCACAGCCTCTTGACGCGTGAGCTTACCAGCAGGAACGCTCAAGATCCTAAGCACTACCGCTGGTGGCTACCTACAGCCTGGGCAGCTATTTTCTGTCACCCGATACAGCAGGTGAAGCAATGCCCGTGAATGACATCGCTTACGGTCTGTCTGGGAAGTCATTCTCTGACCCAGTCTCTGTAACTGCAAAGCTTTGAGAACAGAGGGGGAAAATGGAAACCAGACACTTATTTGGCCCTTCTTCTCCCCATCCTCCTGCCACTTACACCACCCAAAGTAATCCTGGCGCAGCCCTGCCAGCCAAGTTCAGATAGGGACTGTGTCTGCCTAGATGGAAAGTTTCTCACACGCAGTGTGGAGAGTCAGTGACAAAGTACAGTTTTTAAAAACACTTTAAAAGTGCACACATTGAGTCTTTGAAGTGCCCACTGGTCACAAAGCAATTCTTGCATGTTTTATCCTTGCTGCTGGAATTTCAGCTTCCCTTTTTATAGCTGAGGAACCTAGAGTATTTATAGGCCACTGAGACACCAGTCCTCCAACAGCACCAGAGATGTGCAGCAGTGGGATCTGAGCGCTCAGCTGAGCTGGTGCTCACAGTCCCAGCTCCACGGGCTCTTAGCAAGATCCTCAGGTGGACATCCTGGAGAAGGCATGGAGATGGCTCCACATTTGCTGCTGTTCCCATGGAGCAGACGAGAGAAGAGCACACCCACTCTCGCTCCCCAGCTTGTGCACACACGTGCATTGGGTTTCTGTCTGCAGGCTGTTCTACAGCACTGCCTTGCTGTGCCTTGGGCTCCGGCTGGAAGTCAGAAACGAGACACCGAGTCTGTCCTCGTTCACCCACCAACAGGTGAATTGTGTGGGACAGGAGACTAGAGAGGACTTTGCAAGCAGTCAGGCCTGCTTTGTCCCATTGCACAGGTCATGAAATCTGAATCTCAAACTCGTAATATCTCTTGTTCTGGCCCAGAAACTTGGCTTCGGCCAAACGCCTGGCATCAATTTCTACCAGCTCTGACCAGGGGCTTAACAAGCAGCTACGCTGTTGGAAAGGATTTTACCGACACAGTACTCTACAAGTGCTTGGCCCTCGGTTGAGCGCCGCATCCCTGCGAGCAACTGTGCAGAATCCTTCTGTGTCTCTCTCCTCTCTCTCCCCTTTCACACCGTCCTCACTGCACAGGTCACTGCAAGAGCACTCATACTCACTGCTTCTGGAGCAAGTGCTGGTGCTGCTGCTGCTGCTGCTGCCGGTAGGTCTCAATCGTGTGCTGGGGAAGGTACTGCATAAGCTCCAGGGACTCTTTGATCTTTAGTAGCATTTCATATGTCTCCCGTCCCCTCACCTGGATCATGGGAAAAAGGAGGAAAAGAAAAACCTTAAAGGACTGCATCTAGAATGACAGCCACCTTAGCATGTTTTAGATAAAGTCAAGTAAATAACCGGAGCAGGATGCAAATACTCTGTTTAAACACTATGCATACGCAATAAAACCGCTAAGCCTTGTGCTAGAGGTACAGCAGATGATGTTGAAGAGTGATAATCTGACACTGCAGGCTAATGAACATCTTGGGGTTGTCATCTGACTTGATGTAAATTTATGCCAATCAAAAGCAAGATTCTGATGCAATCTGTTATACAGAAAATGTCTTCACCTGCCTCAGATGAATTTTACATGCCTTGAGGAGAGAGGGGAAAAAAAAAAAAAAAGTACTTGAATTTGGATGTTGGGTTTGGATCTCCCTTCTCCTCTAAGCACACCATGGTTTGTGATTTATCCAACTAAATGTGGCTCGTGGGAAAGCAGCTAAACAGTCGATCACAGATACTTCTTGCCTTTTCTAATCCTACGCTTAACACAGCGTATTTCACTTCTATCACTCCACAACGATGGTAATACATATAAAAGCTACAGAAACATCCACCTTTGTCAGTAAGGCAACACTCATTATCTCTAGAGAAAGTTCAAGTGCCACAGACCCAGAAATGACAGAGGAGGAAACTCAGCTAGGTCTCCAAGACAATGTTTCCACCAGGACAGGCAGATCCCTTGGGATACTCTCATATGCCTTACATAAGCCACTCTCAGTCAGCAGCTAATGAGGTTTTTCATATTTTTTGTTTGGAATATGTATTTACAATAGGTATCTCTGGGGATTAAAAAAAAATAATTCCACATCCCATCCTCATCCTCAGTTCTCTCTGAGGTCTAGGTAAGCAGACCTCAAGTCTAGGTGAGACTTGCCTCAAGTCACTGAGGAAGACACTAAACATAAGGTAAATGCAAAGATAGAGAGAACTCACCGGCAAGTATAAGAGCTCATCATCTGGGGAACGTCTTTTTTTGATAGATGTCATCTGTATGCCATGAGTTCCTTGTCGAAAAGCTGGAAGAGAAATCCCAAAAGCATCCCATAAAAAAACAAAAAAACAAAAAAGAAAAAAAGAAAAAAGAAGGAAAAAAAAAAAAAAAAAGAAGAAGAGAAGAGAGACATGAAGTGCATGGCCAGCTCAGATCTGCAGTGCTCTGAAAGAATCTCTGCCTGAGCCACTCCAGAACTGCACTTGCAGCTCCTGGCTCCATAAGGCAGACACGATTTTGCAGATGTTGGGTGGCCATACTGCTTAGGGAAACACATCAGTCAAGAAGTGCTAGATATATGGCAAAAACCCCAGCAAGTCATACCTAGGACAAACACTGTGTCTTTGCAAGTTTTGGTATTACCATGCTCATGAGCTATTGGCGGATCAGTGATCCATGAAGGCAAGAGAACAGGCAGGGAGCACACAAAAGTCACTGCGAAAATGAAGCCCCCTCCAATCTGCCTCCTGTTAGAACCTGCTGCTTTGCTGTTCAGCCTAATGCCATCACTGAGTGCACACAGGAAACCAAAGCTGCGTTTCCATATCTTGCGTGTCTGATGAGTACACTGCACCCTTTAAAGCACAGAGAGAGGCCACTCGCCAGAACACCTCTGATGCACAGCAGGGTTTACATGCAGTCTGAATCTAGAACCCTGTGGCTGGAAGACACATGCCACAGCATGAGACACTCGTTAGAAGGAGCAGAGAATGACAGCACAGTCCCAAACAAGCAGTAAAGGTTCAAAAGGTGATTACCGAGTCCTAGCCATGTACCTTGAGGGTGGCAAATAAACACCGCCTCCAGCCACTGCTGGCAGGGCTGATCTAACACAGGCAGCGCAGCAAGGGAGCCTGCAAACCCAGATTGTCAAATGTCGCTTTGGGAACACCAGCTCATTTTTCAGGCTGATTGATCCTGGGAGACCAGACATCTAATGCCCTCCTGCCTCTAACAGCCCATGCACAGCGCCGCTCCATCCCCGTGGAACCTGCACCCGGTGACAGCACGATTTGCAATCTGCCCAGCTCTGCCAGCTACTTACGGCGCTTCGTACCATCACCATTCTTTGTGCTGTCAGAGACTTGCTGCTTGCGGATGCTGTCCTCGTCTGCTTTGCGATCTCTGCCTGGGCAAGCGCAAATGCGGGCTTCAAAACATCGGCGGCCCAAGACTTGCCCACTGGGAAAAGAGGTGAGAGGAAACATCAGCATCCCTCAACTTCAGTATGTGCAGACAGACCCAAACCTCCCATTTCCCAGTCAGGATCTTCCAGGTGTTGGGCAGCTCCCACCCATAAAGATTTGAAAAATATCCTGTGGCACCTTGCATCAAACTGTCCCTAAGTATACGCAATGCTGCCCTGAGCAGAAGAGGAGCCAGAAGGTCACCTCTCAAGCAAAGGGCTACACTCGTGATGCACTACTTACTCTCTGGTTTCCAGTGTCACAATGATGAGGATTGGGCGACGGTTCATTCCTCCCACGCAGCTACTGTTACACATGAAGTTGTACAAGACTGTCGTGAACTCTGTACCAACCTGGATGAGACAAAGGGGATGAGCAGAAGATACGGTGGATGGAAAGCTCTACTTTTTCCAGGCTCTTCTCTCGTACTCCCACAGCTGTGCTGCAATCAGACTAGCATGAAATGAGCCCCACCATAAGGCTTCCTTAAAAGAAATTGAGAACTCCTGCTCTCAGGGGATCAAGAGATCATTTAAAAGTTCATTTCTGACAAAGAGGAAGAAGGGTTTCATTGTGATGAGGATGGGGAAAGCACAAGATCCCAACTCTTTCGACTAGGGTTAAAACCCCCACCCCTTTGTGTGCCGGAATGCCACCACCCTGAGCTCACAACGTACCTGGGGTGGCTCATAGGGGACCAACACGCTCTGCCTCCCGGTGATGGGGTCTTCTACATACTGGGCATGGCTGTTCCCTTCCACCCTGATCAGGTGGCTGGGAGGTGCAATCTGCCCTGCAAGGGTAAGGAAGCAAAAAACTAAGAGACACTGTTCAGTGAAGCAAGTTCATGCGCAGGGCAGCAAGATCTTCCACCAAGAGAAACCCCTGCACCTGGACCCAGAGGTCTACCAGAGCACACACGTGCCTCCCAGCCCTTAAAGCGTACCTTCCCAAGGTCCCCACTGCCAGACAGAGGCAACGCAGACTTTCTCAAGCTAAACACCTGAACATGGGCTTCCCGAGATCCTGGACTAAGTGAGCCCAAACGTCAACTGAATGGCAGCTCACAGCCAACTGTGAGCAGATATCTTTGAGCAGATAACTCCATGTGGATTTTCACATTGGTTGAAAGCTTTTCTTTTCCATCCCCTAATGTGTACATGAAGCAAATTCCTTCAAGTCTCAATCCCTACTCTTTTCCCCATCAACTGCTAGCCCTCCTCTGTTCCCTCCCATCAGTCTTGATCCTAAGGAGCTAAAAAAGATTCAAGCAGCAGGAAAAATATGCATTTAATGGTCAGCTTGAAAAATCATGCTTGCTTACAATGACAGCAGAAGGGAACATGGTCATCTTTGGGTTTAGGCCCCTTTCCAATAATTTTAAAAAGTATTTTCCTTCCAGCAAATTTTCTATAGTGTTTCTACACCATACAACTATATTCTGAGGAGAGAAGCCTGTTATGGGTTCATCCAAAAATTTGTTTTGTGTTTGAAGGGTTCATTTCTTACTCAAGAGACAGCATATTTCTAGAGAAATAATTATTTCAGAATAAGAATTTGTAGATTTAGGTTTTTTCTTTCTTAAAACTCCATCACTGAACCAGCTATTAACCCTCAAAAACACTAGTTCTGTCAGAAAAGCACTTTCTAATATGAAAAACTATTTCAAAGGACTGTCTCAGTCCACTCTGATTTTACACTCCCAAGTCCTCACTTATTTTGAGGCTTGTCTAGCTGGCTGCATCATAACCAGCAAAGGGATCCAGGCTCCTAAGACATCCTGCTAACTGACACCAACCTTTTTTTTTTTTTTTTTTACAGTAGGAGATAAATAATGCACGTAGAGTAAAACAGATGCGCAACTGAACTTATGTGAACTTAAGCAGCCAAGGCAAAACGGAGCCCAGCCCATGAGTTTGCAGAAAACCCCAGGACATTTTTAAACCAGCTGCTACTTCACTAACATAAGGAGAAGCAAGTAAAAGATTAAAACATTAATACTGAACCAATAGTGTTAAATGTACAGGAAGGTTGCCTACAGTTGATGCTGGCACTTGGTGTTATCCTGCTAGAGATAAACAGCCCCTCTGTCTTTGAGGCGTGGATTAAGGACTGGAGATGATATTGCATCCTGTTACGAGATCCCTGTCCCAGTGATGTGGAAGCTCATTCCTGAGCACAAGAACAGCTGCTTCTCATTGCGGGAGCAAAAGAGGAGCGGGGAAAGGCTGCCAGAAGGGCACTGCCTGCCATGGGGACAGACATCCATCCAACCCGAGCAGGCACAAAGTTTATTTCGGTACTTTCTTCCCAAGGATGTGCTTGCACAGGAACAGCTAAAGTGTAGTATGAAGCTTCCTGCTAAGCACGGGAAATAAAAAGCTGCACAAGACCTTGCAGAGAAGTCTGCTTCCAGCAGGTCTGCTGTGAAGCTGCTGCCAAATCCCTGCACCAGCTAGTCATCAGTCAAGCACCTTTGGAGAGGAACTACCAGCAAATCACTGCCCTCCTTACCCTCGTTGAACTCCCGGCTCAGCTCATGGTTCGGGCAGCGTTTGACCACTTCGGTGACATGTTCAGCTTTCTTGTAGACTGGCATAGCCCTGATGACGGCTCCCTGAGGTGGCGGGGTCATCACTTTGATCTGGATGGGACACGTCTTGGCAATCTGGCAGTACAGCTTTTTCAGTTCGGTGGAATACTGGACGGGAGAAAAGAGCAAGAGAGAGTCAGGATGTTCAGCTAGAGGTGGAAGTGTGCTACAAGGATGGAGGTGCCTTTGCACGTGTAGATGAGTGCACCAGCTACTGCACGTGTATTGCATTTTTTTCACACAACAGCCACACCACATGTGGCAAAACCCCCGGACCTTTACCTGTTTTAGAACAGCAGAGTACAAATCTACATCTTAATTTTCCCAAATGCAAAAATCTTCAGATAAAGACCACTGCTCTTAAACAAATACAATCTTTATTCCTCTTGGCCACACACCCCCTCTTCCAAGGGACGCACATTACTCACCTAACAAAACGGACACGACAGAAGCCCTCCTACTTTTGCAGAGTTGTGCCAAATCTGACATTTTAGTCATCTTATAAAAGCATCTCAGACCTCTGCTGATCACCTGTATAGCAACCTCCCCGCTTCTAAACTCAAAGCATTGTGTCCATGAAGTAAGGGGGAAAGTAACAATACTATTAATAACTAACTAAACATCAAAGCTCAGAAGAGTTGAGCAGCCCAAAGACCAGATCCACAGTGAGAGCTAGAACTGGCTCCAAAAGGGAGGTTGTGACCATCTTGGGGTGGGAAATAAACACCTGAAGCAGAACAAGATGCTTTTATTCACTGTGCTAACTCGGGACGTACTAGATTCCCTCTTTTAAGATGTTCCCCACTAAAGCAATAACACTGGTGCAGCATTTTTCTGAAGCGTGTTCACATCTGGAAACCTTTACACAGCAGAATATCGAGGCACAGGCTGAAGTCATTGGTTTCTGTTCAAAAATCCACACTGAAATAAGGGCATGTGCTTAGTAGAAATGGTCGCAAGGAAACTCTTATGTGGTTCAGTACAGTCTAACCTAAACCCATTTTTCTGGATGTCCCCTGTGAAGGGGACTCTCTGATCTCCTTTGCTATAGAAGGTTGTTCCAAAAACCAGCTGTTCTTATCAGTACCCCACTCCAAAGGCTTTCTGTTTTCTCCCAGTGCTCAGACATCTGCAAGCGCAGAGCTCTCCCAGTAACTCTAACCATGTAACCCACAGGAATTGCTGGCATTTCCCCACTTCCATCTCTTCTGTTCTTGCAGAGGAAGAAAAGTGAAAGTCCCAAGGTAGCTGTTTTCTCAAAAAACATCTCTAGCAGCCGTGGCCGATACAGCCCCGGTCCCAACTGTTCAAACAGAGCACCAGCAGGTTCACACAGGTTGGGAGCACGACGTGGCCATCCACCCTGCTGGGGTGGAAAGAGCTGGCGCACGCATGGGTGGGTGGCGGGTGACGTGGCAACAGAAGGATTAGCTAGTGATATTCAGGGATTATTTGCATTTCAAAGCGTATGCCTTGCTAACACAGAAAAAAACAAAGTTGGGAGAGAGACACTGAGGAGGAGAGGGGGATTAAAAATCAGCCAAGCTGGTCCCTTCCCTCCTCACTCAACACCACCCTGCCATATGGCAGAGAAGATGCTACAGGTATTTAAGCTAAGGAAAAAAATTCTTTAAAATGCAAAGGCCAAGTTGTGCAATGTATTTTATGTGCCTGCAGGCTAGAGATTAAACCCACAAAGGATTTACCCAGCCCGCGGAAACAGGGAACATGCCAAACAATTACAAAAAAAGTTGCGAAATAGATCTAGATGATGATTTGTATCGTACATCTTTTTAACCTGAAATTCCTTATTGTTTTTTAATTAAAAAGCAATTCCTTACTGAAGGTAAGAGTGAGCTCACTATGTTGTCTTTTCATCTCAAGAAGCAGGAAAAGAATCACTTATATTTGAAAGAGGAAGAAAATTTAGAAAGCATTGTTTCCCTCAACACACCAGTTTGCTAATAGCATTGTGAAGGTTTCAAGGACAGAAAGCCTCAAAATCTCGAAAAGCCAAGGCATCCAGGCGATTTGTTAACACTATTGAAGTGTAAAGAAATTGGGTACCCAAAGGCGATGGGCTGCAATGAAAGCATAAATATGGAAGTGTGATGGTGCAGGGAGGGCACACAGCACACACCAGGAGCCAACGTGTCCGGTGTCTGCAGGCATTTGGAGAATTGAACAAATGGAAGGAGATACACGCCCCTCGGTCACGGATCAGAAGTGTTAGTGTTCACTGTTATTTTATGAACAATATCTTCAAAGACAGAATGCTGAGGTTATGGGGCGGGGGGGGCGGGTAGCAGAAAATCACTCCTTTCAGAAGGACAGGAGAGGTGCCCAACACGAATACCAAAGCTCCAAGTCAAACAGCGTGGCCCCTCTGCCAGCAAAGGCAGGGATCTGCTCCTTGTCCTCCCTTCAGCACCCCAACTGTCAGACCCCTTTGGCTACAACCAGCAAGGAAGGCATCGGACCTGCAGCTTAAATTCACAGAAAGCAAAACAGCTAAGGACTAATGTGTTACGATGAATAAGCCTATCTAACAAAGAAAAAAATACATATATCCCCAAAACACAGGGCAGACTCAAGAGCTCCAGGCTCTGGCCAACACCTTGAATTTGGCATGTCAGAGGAGGGTGACCAGGAGCCCTCCTCTGCTTCAGGATACAGGGCATGGGGAGGCAAACAGCAGCACCCAGCAGAGACAAACAAGACAGCAAGAGGCTGTGCCGCCTTTTTGTCATCTGATTGCAAGAGGGGTTCAAGCCTCGCACGCACCACACCGGGCTCAGGGCCATGGCATATCGCCATGATTTCACATCTACCTCAGGCACAGCCGCCTGTGAGCGTGCAATTGCTGAGCAGTTGGTCATTTAACACCAGTGTAAATCTGTCCACGGGGTACCTGCTGTCAGACAGTAAGGGGCTTGGGTTTCCCACCCTGCCAACTTTGCTGCAACCATGGGTAACCTGACGCTCAGCTATCTATTGGCATAAACAGATGCGAACAACTAGGTCATGGTGACTTCGTACTGGATCGGTGATAATCGCTATATCCATGAAGCAAGACAGGATATTGTATATAGATTTCAAAGCAAATACGCATCAGAAAAAAGCCCCAAGGCAGGAGCTGTCTGTGCATTCAAAGAGTGCCTGCAAGCAAGGGTCACCCCTCTCGGCACACATGCCTCTCCCCAGCGGTCCCCAAACTGCCCCACCTCGCCGACGTGACAATGCCCCTGCCCACCATTTTCCTACAGGAACTGACAGACGCTCACTGTATGAGGAGTAAGATCACAACCAGCAATTCCCAGAAATCTAGAGCATGACAATAAGTCAACGCACTTCTGTTACTTGCTAGTATAGGAAAATGAAATTAATTAGGAGCAAAAAAATACCAAAAATTAGCTTGACCCAATCAACAAACCTGTCCTTTAGCAAGATGACAGTAGTCATGATCTAGCAGCAAGAACAAAAGCTGCGCCAACAGTCTGAAGAGTGTGAACACTACTTCTACCAGACGCACAGACCAGAAAGTTATGTAAAAGAAATAAAAGAACAGAGCCTGGCGACGTGTTATCCGTTTGAGAGGGAGAGGAAAGAGCTTTGGCTCAGACTTTTCTTTGGGGTTTGAGTGCTGCACATCATGCCCAAATAAGCAGACTTCAAGAGATTGCTAACAACAACAGTGAATTTAGCTTTTTACTTAATAATATGTTTTAAAAGGAAAGAAGAAAACATTCCAGTGCCTGCAGCCCTGCCCTCCCCACCTGCCTGTGCAGACATACTATATTACCCACTCTTGGCACCCTGGCTGGTAATTCAGTATCACAATACACACACCAGTTACCATCAGGCAACACCTGTCTGATTTCTTAGCAAGCCCCTACTCCGGAAGGTGTGTCAACAAAGGGTTTAAAGGAGAAAACAAAACATTTTTCACCTCTACAAGTGAAAAATTTTTGCTAGAAAGGACAGAAGTCTCCTGGAAATAAGTGCTGGGTGCAATACAAGCTGCAACAGCTTTTCACTGAGCATTCAATTCCCCTGCAAAACTCTGATGCAGTGAAATCCCCCAAGCACTACTTTGGAAATCTACCTCTAATATTGGTTTTACCATCTGATCTAGCCGAGGGATTACGGCCTCTAAGTCTTTAAAAGGAGCAGGGTTCAACCAGCTCTGGGAATGCTGACGGATGTCAACTTGAAGGTGATCCCAGAGGCTGGCTTATGGCGTGACAGCTCCCTGAGCCCCTTCTGCTCAGATCAACAGGTCTTTCAAATCTTTGGCAAACTTCTTTCAAGAAGTCACGTTTTAGTTCAACTCAGTTAAACACTAAATTCATTTTACTTGATGTTTTCAAAGCCAGTCAGCTGTGCTTTGTCCCCTATCAAACTAACTCCGAAAAGGGGGCAGGGAGGTAGGGAACAGGTCAGAAGAGTGGGAAAGCAACATTTACTTGCACCAAAGAATTTGCAGATGAGAAGCAAGGAGTTGCAAAAAACCAGAAAGTCACCTGCATAAGGTTTATTCTTTTATGAGAAAAAAGGTAGTAGGAAGTTACCTACTAAGAATAAAAATTTAATTTTTTTTTTTTTTTTTTTTTAAGGGGGCAGGGAGGTAGGGAACAGGTCAGAAGAGTGGGAAAGCAACATTTACTTGCACCAAAGAATTTGCAGATGAGAAGCAAGGAGTTGCAAAAAACCAGAAAGTCACCTGCATAAGGTTTATTCTTTTATGAGAAAAAAGGTAGTAGGAAGTTACCTACTAAGAATAAAAATTTAATTTTTTTTTTTTTTTTTTTTTTTTTTATGAACAGCGATTTAACTTTTCATTTGCAAAAAAACCTGTTGGGGGCATGGCAGGGACACCAGATACATGTGTATGCACACGCACACACACTCTTAACAAGTGCCTTGTATCCACAGAAGGCTCAGCAGTAAAGTCCAAGAGCAGCTCTGCCAGGAGCGCTGCGGACATAGACATCTCCTGCCAGATTTAACCTTTGGCTCAGCATAACCTTAGCCACACCGCTCACTAGCTGACTCGTTGCAGCTCCAGTTTGAGGTCCTCTATC